CCATCAAGGTACCCCGAGAGGCTGCGTGTGCTGCCAGAGTGCAGCGACCGACTGGTTCCCAGCACCCCGCTGTTGTCAGCACCGTCCCCTTTCTTTTGCTGCCGGATCTCCCCTCCCCAGGCACAAGTGTGCTGGAAGCCACCTTGGCTCTGGCTGGCTGCCTGGTGGGAGCTGGGATTTGGCACAAGCAGTCCCACGCTGCTGAGCTCCAAATACACGTGCTGTGGCTCTGCTTCCCCACAGAAAGGCTACGATGACTTGCAGGCCATCGTTCCCACCTGTGAGCAGCAGGATTTCTGCATAGGCTCCCAGAAGCTGAGCAAGGCCATCGTCCTCCAGAAAAGTGAGTCTTGGGAGGGAAGGGCTTGCTATCAACCCCCAAGGGCATCACTAGCGCCATGTACCATGGAGGTTCCACACTTTGAGACCTTCTGGTGTGCTGATGTTCTAGGGGAGCCCAGGTGCTGGCCCCCTCCCGCCACCCACCCACCTCCCAGAGGAGAATCAGGGCAGCTGAGAGCTGATGCTGCCCAGGCTTGGGCACCTTCTCTGCGGGCTTCTCGGGGGTTTGTGTGTGCTCTCGAATCCTCATTCTATGTTTTCATCCTCAGCCATTGACTACATCCAGTTCCTGCACAAGGAAAAGAAGAAGCAAGAGGAGGAAGTTACTACCCTCAGGAAAGACGTGATGGCCCTGAAGATCATGAAAGTGTAAGGGAAGAGCTGTTGGTCGCTGCCCTCCTCTTCCTGCGGTTTTCCCCGCTGTCCTTTCGAGGCTCCGTGGGTGCACTCAGTGCTTTGCAGACAGCCTGGCATCTGGAGCGCCAAACCTGTCCCTGCGGGCTGCCATTGTTTCTCCTCCAGTGGCCCGTTAGCAGGGGTCTGTCTTGGGTCACTTGGAGTTTAGTGTGAAGGTGGATCTGAGTCAGAAAATGAATCTGCTGCCCGCGTCAGGACCAGCTGCAGCTTCCCAGTGTTTATTTCCTTGCAGGATCTTCCACAAGCTCTTGGTGCTCCCCACCTCAGCAGCGGGTCTCGGTGGCCAGTGACGGGCGGTGGGGTCTGTCCCGCTCTGTCCCGCAGCTAAGCAGGAGTGGGGGGTGGGCGGCCTCACTGCTTCTGACCACGGGCTGCTTGGTTTGTTTCAGCAACTACGAGCAGATTGTGAAAGCTCATCAGGACAACCCGAATGAGGGGAAGGACCAGGTCTCTGATGAGGTGAAGTTCAACGTTTTCCAAGGCATCATGGATTCCCTGTTCCAGTCCTTTAACGCCTCCATCTCCGTAACGAGTTTTCAGGAGCTTTCGGCTTGCGTCTTCAGCTGGATTGAGGAGCACTGCAAGCCCCAGGTGAGCGGGAGCTGCGGGTGGGCAGTTGTGATGGCAGAGACCATTGCACCCAGCTAGAGTGCAGGGCTGGTGGCGCTGTGCCCTCCCTGGGGCTCCCGAAAGGGCAGCGTGTGACATGTGCCCCAGGCTTCTGTGGGAGGTGCTCGCCAGGGACTTCTTCCTCCCCTGGAACCAACTGTGTCCCCTCTCTGCCCCAGACGCTGCGGGACATCGTGATCGGGGTCCTGCACCAGCTGAAGAGTCAGCTCTACTGAGCCTTCCCGCCGCAGCGCCGGGGCTGCCGCTGCCTCCACGCCCATGGAATGCAGCACGTCCTGCCCGGGTGGCGGTGCCAGGAAGGGCTGGGCCGGCTCCCTCAGGGTGTTGTTAAAGCTTCTCCGAGTTATTTATGGCATTGACTACAAAACCAAAATGAGGCTGTGCCGACACCGCTGCGCGCAGGTACCGGCACGGTCACCATTACCAAATATTTGTAGGGCTTAGTGACGGCAGGGGAAAACGCGTGTGTGGAGTGGAGATCCTTCAAGGTGCCCGAGAGTCTGGTGC